TTTAAAGCAGGAATTCAGTTGATAGCCTCTCTAGCTTATAAGAAAATAACCATAAATTATTTTTTGATGCAATGCACTCTAGCCAAAAGCAACCTGGCCTGGTGAGACATCTTTCATAAAGCAGGAAAAGTTCAATACCTTAACCCCAGGTCTCTAACTAAAATTGTCTTTAATGTTATCCTTTTCAAACAGGACTACTATAGCAATAATCTATTTTAAAATGTAACCTTTTAGATAAGAGGCATGACTTGATGAGCTATTCTAGCTCCTGAGTATTCAGGAAATTAAAATGAAAATCTATATTCCAATAAAATGCACCAGGAAGACTGTAATAGTCCCTGTGTGTTTTGCAGACTGCAAGATGAGAATACAGGCAAGCATATTCTGACAAAGGCTATGTTGTCTTTGCACTTGGTTCTGACTGCTTGATAGCTATGTTACCAGCAGTGTTATTGCTACAACACTACAGCATAATACCTGTTATTTGCTACTTTCATATTCTTCTTCGTTACCAGTGGTTTTGGCTGGTGATTAATGAGAACTATGATTTGAAGATGGTAGATGCGGTAAAGACATTCATGCAGCAGAAAAATTAAACATCATTAAATGAAGGAACCTTGGAAGGGGAGATCTGGAGTGAACTGAATGAACGTAACCCCCTGTCCTGTGATCCGAACAAGTGTTTTGTTCTGAGTTTTAGAAATCAGATATAATTTTCTGCCTGAAACAACAGCCTGAAGGAGCCTGCTTATTCTCATCTTGTGCGAATGCAAGAAACAGAAGCCTTAATTGTTAATACTGGTCATGAGATCTAACTCAAGAAGTATGTTCTTTGCTGGGTCAACAACTGAGGAAGACAACAACACATCGTGTCCTTATTCTTAGTTAACTAAGATTTTAAAGTTAGGTTTAGTTTCATTTTCCCATTTGAAATTAGGTGGGAGACTACATTCATAGGTGATCATCGGTTACCCCTCCATTTCCTGTTAGAATCTGGTTCCAGTTTTACCTATCCTAAACACCAGCTCTACTCTACTTAAGTCCCTTTCACAGCTTCTTCTACCTTTAGCAATGGCATTTTGTGCCCATTGATCTAAAAATAGTTTATTTAAGTGTCAAAGGGCACAAATTGGGACAGTTAAACCACTGCAGGTGCTCTCTGACGCCATGAATGGACGGAGTTGATTAGAAATGTTCAGTGAAAGGTTTTGTTATGAGAAAATACCTGTTAATTGAGTTCAGAGCTTTACAGATCAAAAACTGACTGACTACACTTTCAACAGCAAAAGTTCTATGTCCATGGTGGCAATTTTGGACATCTCTTCCCAGAATTAAAGGCAGCCTTCCCATGGAAGACCAAGTCTGAATCCTCATGCTAAACTAACGAGTATAGAAATTTACAGTGGGACTGCCCACTTCTCAGGAACTTTCCATGACTGCTTATTTACTGTATGGTGACTTAACAGATAAGCTCACCGTGCAAAATAAGAAAAAACACTGAAATCTAGAAGGATTCCACAAAATAACAAAATGATTTTTCACCCAATTCTAGAGACTTGTGCTATCAGTTAGAAACATGCCTTTTACAGAGGAAAAAAAGACTGCACAGCTGATTTTCTTCTTTTTCAATTATTTCTGGTCAATCGTTAATAAAGCTGCAATAATACACAAGCAAAGAGATGTCATTGATACAGTTATCAGTTTGGAAGACATATACCTGAAACTGCAATTGCGTATGTGTGGCTGCACTGTTGACCATTGATGGCCGAGATTAGGATTAATGCTGTCATAAAAAAGCACACATTTTGTACGTTTCTTAAGCATTTATATGACAAAATTACCAAGAAAAATGTTAATAAACTACCTATTAATATGCAGTATCCTTCTTTGTAGATGCCACACATAGTGACCAAAACAGATGGCAGAGGAGGGAAGATGAAAAGATCCAAGATGAAAGCAAATATATTCTATGTAAATGAACAGCAAGTATTTTTAATTAATTATATCATTTTTAGGTGCTTGTCTTTTTCAAATTATAAGCGCTACCTCTTATTATTTTTCTTTGCTGTTATATGCTGGCAGCATTTACAAAAAGCAGGATATGAATTTTCCTCTTTTTTTTAACACCTTTAGAAAAATGATTGCATTTTTAACAACAGAGGTGTAGCCTGCTCTTCCATTTATCTGAGCAATTCACCCATTTTATATTATCTTTTTTCTTTTAAAAACTATAAAACAATAACAGCTAGTGGAAAAAAGAAATAAAGGCTTTGACTTCTTTTTTAAAAAAGCAGGATAAAGGTCTACATGATTTTAAATGTTTTTAATGTTTATAAACATACATGGTAAATTCTGTAGAACAGATAAAGTTTAGTAGTGACCACAAACATAGTCAATGTCTGCTCCAATAGTGTCCACCTTCATTATAACCATCATGAATTTCAGATTTAATCAGTGATACTGAGAGATTCTAGGCAGGATATAAAGATTTTCTAGTAAGAAGAAACAGAAGTAAGACAGGAGATAAAGGTGACCCCCTATATATCATTTATATGTGGTATTCTGAAAGATTTTTTGTAAGGTTCTTCGTAAGATATTTTTAAGGGAAATAAATAACTATGGGTAAAAAGCAAAGAGATTTTTAGATTAATCACAGATACACTAATCAAAGAGTTCTAATAAAAAGTGGTATATGACAGTAAGGTAAAGTGAATAATGGGAAACTGAATTCAGTGGGACAAGCAGTCTACACTTTCTGTAAAACATATAAGATGTTTGAGACATTCCCTGACAACATCCCATTAAAGGGAAAGTAGAAATGGCAATGGCTGTGATTTCATTCCTCTGATGTCATAAATCCCTAAGGTTTTGTGATAAAAGTGAAAGACAAAGAGGGCATAAGGAAATAATAATGTTAAAAAGAAAGATATTGAAAAGGTGAATGCTGGGAACTGGCAGCGGGTGGGAGTTTGAAAAAGTAGATGAATTAAATGAGCTCAAGTATCAGTGACTGTGCATGAAATACTTCTAGAAAACATTATATCACATAAGATTCCAAAGAATAAACCTTGACTACTATTGCAAAATTTAGTGTTGGACGCTATCCTCTAATAACGGGCAAAAATTTAGTTTATTGTCCTTTGTAAATGACACTCTAATCCAGACATCATATCCAGCCATTCTTAATAAATGTACTTCAGTTAATGTATTGAATTATAAACTAGAGCTCTTTAAATAGCCTGGAACGAGAGTCTCTATTATTTTATGCAGCACTGTGGTAACTACTAAATAACAATTGGAAATAAAATTCAGCAGGTACTATTAAACACTATTAAAAGTTATTAATGCTAAGGTCTCTAGCATGTGCCTCTGAAACGCTGAGAACCTAGGAAGGATGTGAGTTTGTAATGTCTCATTATCATATTATACTTCTGTTCACTAGATCATTAAAACGTACATAGGCCAAAACCAGGGAGGAAACAAAATCTAGACTTAATGCATTTTCACAAAAAAAGTATATGTTTTCTTACAGTGAATTGGTTGACCGCTTTCACAAGGTAAATCTCAGTAAACCTTCATCTTCTACATTAAAGAGAAAAAACATGTAATACAATGACTCATAATATTTCCTACAGCTGTGCCAAAGCCCACTGATTTTCAAAGACAGAACAGGGAAACTAGGATAACTCTCTTGAGTAATATACAGCTAAAAGGGGACAACTAGGAACGCTCCCTGTCTGCCACTGCGTTCAGATCTTGGAAGAAATAATCAAGCCTCAAACTATCTTTTAGATGTCTGCAAAGTCCAGTCAATACCATTTTCCCCCAAGTGCAGAACTCTGTCCTTAGAAGTGAAATATCTACACTGCCATGAGCAAACTGAGCAAACAGTAAATGATTTTAGGTGTAAAGAACGCTGAACACCACTTGCATTTATGTGTTATGCCTGTAAAAACCTTGCTTCTCATCATAGGAATGCTGCAGACTTATGTGGTGTTGTAGACATCATGTTTGACATGGACAGATACAAAGTATCAGAGGCTGTTCCTTGGCACTAAATCGCCACCTTCATACAAATGTGCTCCACCACAGCACGCGCAAACAGCTGTGATACTCGCTAAGAGCTTACTGCATGATTGAAAGAGATTTATTTTACCCAGTGTGCCGTTCCATTGGACTGTACTAACATAACAAATGGTTCACAATTTTGCGTCTAGAATCTTTGGAAAATGCAGTCCCTGGAATGATAACTTTACACTAAGTGCAGTGCAGCTGGCTTCAGCCTCAGGGCTGAAGGGGACATCAAGAACAAAATTTATTGTAGTAAGATCAATGTGATTTTTGATTCCTGCTCACTGGTTCCTGGACACCAGAGAAACAGTTTACTCAGAAGTGCAGTAGAAAGATGTAGTCTAAATAAAAACCTACCATAAACTCCTACTGATTTCAGTGAGTCCTAGATCACTCTCATAGACCTTACATGGGTGTAAAATGCTTTCCTTTCAATGCTCATTTATTTAAAGAAAAATATCAACAAGGGGGAAAAGTTTTACTTAAGACCATAAAGACATTTACAATCTCTACTGACTTAGGAGAAATTTATGGATGAGTCCGCTCAGTGGTAAAGCTATTATGAGTGATCATATTACTGCATAAATTGGAGACATTTTGAAGGGATGCCTTTCATGCAATCAAAGGCTAGGGGTCAGTGACAATTTAAAGATTTCTAAATCCACTGATGGCTTTGTCATTGTATGATTATCCATAAATGTGCAAGAGAAAATTTTTGTGAAATCTTGTTGTGAAAATGTTTTTATCTGCCATAGCACAAATTTATATATATATACACACATATATAGAGAGTAAATGCCTTTAAGGCAGCCTTGGAAAAACAATTTAAAAAGTCCTCCTTCTAGATTTATGAAATAGTCATCCTTTTTGAAAGCACACAGTAGTTTATTTGTATGTGAATTTAATATTGAATAAAAGTGTCAGATTAATTCAGTTTAAAAAGTGTCTTTAACAAAAAAATAATTTCATCACAAAATGTCACATTTATTACGTGCTCTTTGGTGACTTCAGTAACATACCAAAATCAGCATATCACTGCAGAGGAGTCAGCCCATCAGAGTGAATTAGACAGTGACATCAGTAGTGCTAGAAGAGCCACTGAAATATATTACTACATGATGAGCTGCCTTCACCAAGGCTGGTTGAGTCCTGCCATTAGTTCATTTTGAACAGCACAGTCCTCAAAAGGGCATCTGGATGCCAATGGCTTTGAGGCAATATGAATGTAGATGAACTGAAAGAAGTTTCCTTCATCAAGCAAAAGAGGGCATGAGCCATCTATATGTTATAGTGTGTTTATTTACAAGGGAATATAATCTCCTGTGTTTACAGAATAAATGTCTGGCTTCAACACAGTGCAAGTCATTGTCACCTATTTTAGCCAGGATTTTTTTTCTTTTTTTTTTTTTGTGTTTTAGCTCTTCTGCATGACAAAGACCGTACCCCATATAACATTAGTTGCCATCAGATACATTTTGCTCATGGACTCAAGACAGACTTGAAGCCCAGTGCAGTAAGTATGGCAAAACAAAACCATAAAAGACCAGAGCTTTTTCTTCCTGACAGACTTAGAGCTGCTCCAATGAAAACAGGATTTTACTGAAATAAAGATTTTCTTTTTTTTCTTTTTAAGATTTATCCAACTAATAAATAACCAGACAGAGAAAGATATGTTAAATATAGAAAAAGGCAAAGGAGAAGAACAAGTAAGTTAACATTCATTTGGGTAAAGTTAATTAAACTCTTGTTACATTACTGATTTCCTCTGCTGATTGTTCACCCTGCAAATAGAAAGTCACAGGTTACTCAACAGGACAAATAATCATGAGTTAATATCCCCTTATTATTAAATCTCAATGCAGATATCTCATCAAAACCAGGACAAAAGCAGCTGGGCCAATAGGTATATTGCATTTACTTTACCACCTCATTTTCAAGTGTAAACAAGGGTAAAAACTGGACTAATGAAACAAAGCAGTCAAGTGTTCACAAGCATCACTCTAGAAAAGCAAGTCCAAGAGAACCGTCCTTGTAAATATGCTTCTCTATGGCTTGCTTTGTTTAATGTATTTATTTTTCCAAGCACTCCTAAATGTTTGATCTGTATTTTAAGATAGTAAATTGCTACAGAGCACCCAGACATCAAATTTGCATTAACACATATTATCCTGTTAAAATAGTTATATCATTATTACAGATTCATCTTGTACTTACTTGCTAACGAAAACATCTCTAGCAAGTGACCCAAATAAATTTAACCATTTTTTTCTCAGTTAAGTAGCATCAGGTCACTATAAAATTTTCCGACTTATTCTTGTACTTTCCTTAAACTAGTCTTTTCAGAACCTTGTCTTTCCTACTTCTGATCCTGCAGAACTAAAAATCTGCTTACGGTAAACAATATTATGTGCATGATCTAGTCATGTGCACAAACAGATTCTTCTATTTGTCTACCAATATGATATAAACAGGAAAATTAACAACAAGAGCACATGAATTCTACCCTTTAACTCAACAAAAATATCATGATATTTTCAGGTGGGCGAAAATAACCTCTTTGACAACAGTTATTCACATATTGCTAAAACATGCAGTTTTAATGCTGCTTGCAGTGCCATTTCAATCTCAAGCCGTTATTAAACTATGGACAGTGCAAGCTAAAGCACTTACTTTCTGGGAACAGTGATTCAATGATGATAATGATGGCACGAATAGCACAATCACACTTACTTTCAGACCTGCAGGCTCCTGGTACTAGCCTTTAAAGGGTTCATATGTCTTCCAAAATCTTCAGTGCAGATCTTTTATCCTTATGGGACATGAAATAAACCTTTAGGAAAAATTCCTTGGGCCTGAAATAAGAAGTTTTCATGACAAAGCTGTCAGTGTTTGGAGAACAGTTATACTTCTAGTAGGATAAAAACAGATAGTCCATAACTCCAACTTCTATACCTTGCAGTTAAAGCACAGATAGCAATGTACCTATGGATAGCTTTTCTATATCTATGTTAAATTATTCTCCTGTATTTCAGTTCAAAGTTATTTATAGGTGGGCAAAAAACATTCTCTCACACAGACATTATTCTTGTATGAGATAATGTTTGTAGGACTTATCTTAAGTCTGAGAGGAGTTTTTTTCACATATTGCAAAAATACTTTAGCTACTCCGGCAGGTCCTAATTTGTAGCAATTCTACACTTATTTTCCCATATGTATTCCCATATGGTGGGGTTCTCCAGTCCCACTCTGAAGGCAGGAGGATGCCCACCACTTCCAAGCTGCTGGGAAAGGTAGCAGGTGTACCATCCTCAGCACCAAGCTAATGAAACCTACATGATGAAGTTGTTGGTCCTCTGCCTTCTTCACTGGGAGAGATCTGGAGAATTCACTGAAGATTTCAAGACTTTGCCTTACCTTTGGGGCAGATCCAGTACAGAGAAAATATTTGCCATGCAAGGATGGACTCTTTCTGACGATTAACAGGGTAGATAAGGCCAAATTGTGAGTGTGATGTCTTCAGATAAGCTTTCTGTAGCACATCTGGGTATGTTGTAGTCTATACTGCTTAATATAAAAGAGACCCACATGTAGCCGAGTACTGACAAATATAAGTTCTTTCAGTGCTTCCATAAGAAAGGTTGGATACCACTAGCTTAATGCAGTCAATGTAGCTACATTGTGCCTTGGCCAGGCACAAATATCTATCTTAAGCAAATAGGAAGTGGAAAGTACAGCCGTCCTAGACCAAAAAGAAGAAAAAGGAAATGTCTTATTCTTAGGACAGAGTTGTACTTGTGTCACTCCTGAAAGATGTTTATCCAACTAGTTTTCAATAAACTATACATTTGAAGACTCCAAGGCCTTTCTGTGCCTTTGTTCTACTGCTTCACTTCCCTTATTATCAGAAAAATTTCCTTCGTATCGGTAATGTTTGCCTATCACATCCTATAGTATCCACCAGGAATAAGCAGAATATTTCCCTTTTGTTTGCAGAAACTTTTTTTATATTTCAAGACCATTTTATCTTATTCTCCTCCCTCAGATATCCCTTCATATGTATGTTAAGAAGGATTAATTCTATCTTTCCTAATAGATCTCATTTTTGCTACTTTTGATCATTCCTGTTTCCTTCCATTAGACTTTTTCTAACAGGTTCATATCTTTCTTAATGGAATCTTGCAGCTCTCAAGAAGAACTGAAGCAACATTCACATGCATTTTTGGCTTTAGTTCTGTTTACTCACAATGTGTACCACAATGGTGACACCGTATTGAGTCCTATCTCATTTGTGATCCATCTTAACTCTTTTCTGCAGACCTGCTTATGCAATGTATTGTTTCCCTGTATTTATGCAAATAATTGTTCTAAATATGCTACCTTGCAATTATTTTTATTGACTAGCATCCTAGTCATCTCCACAGCAGTCATGCAAGGTTACTTAAAAATCCAGTACTTTTCTTTTAGGTATCTGAGGGCCTTCCCAGTTTTGTGTCCTATGGAAATTTTAATTGGCGTACTTATGCTGCCATCCATGCTATAAATGAATACTGAGGAGGACTAGAATGAAGATAGACAGAACTCTGTTCAACATCTCCTCCATTTTAAAGCTGTGAAGATATAATTCTTCAGTAAGATTAAAAAATCTTTCTTATTCTTGAGGATTTAAATAAAGAATGCATACTTCTCAGCTGAAAGATCTGCCTTGCAGATTCTATAATCTGAGTAATGAAATAGCGAGGTTAATGTGAATTATGCTGCACTTTGTTGCCCAAGAGAATAGAGTGTAGTACAAATTACAGGATTTAGCAAGGCTATAATACATCTACCTACAGGCTTCACTGAAATGCCAGATATGGTTAATACAGTATGTCATAAACATGCTGAATGCTATTCTCCTTCAAAAAATAAACCATAAATCATTCTTCTGTCATTGTGCATTCTTACTGCCCACAAGCTCCAAAAGCAAAACTCTGTACATGTCAAATCTGCTATTTAGTTGGCAGTCAGGGAGTAAGAGCTGCAATGCGTGAGTCTAGTCGAAGTCAGATTAGATCATAGTGTCACCCACAGGAGTGGTAGAGACATGGTCTGGCCACTTGAAGAGAAAGAGTGCAGCTCAGATTTAGTGGACTGGAATAAGGTGCCAGAGAGACTTTCTTTCCAGACAAAGTATTATTTCAATGTGCAGCAGGTGTAAAATGCTTTCAAACCAAAATGGCAGCGTTCTGCTTTTACTGATGTGCGTGTATGGCAGCTTTGCCCTGGTAATATGCTAAGAATAATATAATGGTATAAAGGAAAGAAAGAGTACCTGTGGAGTACAAAAGAATAAAATACATTCAACTGGAAAACAGAGCTGTCAAAGAGAGATGGATGCAGAAGAGACTACTGGCTATCAACAGAAGCATACTAGGGCAAGAAGTGCAGCTGGGGATCAGATATGGCTGTGTAGTATAGAACAGTATAAACAGCAAGACTTACTTCAAGACTATCATAAGTACCTCAGTAGTTGCACGGCATAATAATTTGGAAATGCTGGATATTGCATAGAATTAGTCATGTTACTGCAATACTTATATATAACCTTACCACTATATGAAGCTAGTAATAGCTGAAACATTGAAACATTTTATTTCTGGCATTAGACGTGATCTACATTATCATTACTTCAAATAAGAAGGCCTGCTTCAGGAGCATCCCATCAGGAAGGTAAACCTAACAGTTCCAGGTACAGAGAGAGAGCGAGCAAATCATAGAAGGTCTTTTGGTATCAGTTTTTACAGGGCTAAAGGTACTAAGTGTTTTATTTCCCTTGGAGTGTACCATCATAGCCACCCCTAAATACATCAGAAAGAATCACAAACTGCTTAACAATCTGCATGTTATTTGTTCTTATTAATGCATATGTCTGGACTGGAGCAAGGCAATATATGTTTTCACGGGAGTGGAGGAGTAATCACACACAGAATCATTTTGCAGAAATTATCAAAGGAGTAAATAAATTTAAATAAATAAATCAGCTGACTGGAAACTTGAAAATAAATCTAGGATTCACGTTAAAAATAGCTCCTAACACAATTTAGCAAAGCCACCAATGTTAGTCTAGTGAAAGAACTGCATCCCTCTGAACCCCTTGTTTTTGAGCAAGGGTTCAAAAACTTAGTCAAAGATGTCATCTGAAGTCACAGCATCAGCCTTATTTAACACCGCCTCACAGAAAATAGCTTTAGACTCTACTTAAGGAACAGTAACATTTTATAAAGCTTGCTTTGTTCCGCTGAAGGTAGCGTTTTGGTTTCATATCTTCTATTAAGAATATTCAACTTTCAGAGCTTAGTAGACCCATATATATTAGGATCATAAAACATAATTTAGGTTGGAAGCCTTCTTTAGGTCATCTGGTGTTCTCCCCACCCCTACTCAAAATGGGGCAATTAAGAGCTGACATACATTCTAATATTGTATACCTACTATCTTAACTTCATTACAAATGAATAATAGACTACTCTCCCTGAGCATCTGTAGTATTTCTAAGACATCGATTAATACAGCTCTCATAGTAAGGTTATTTTAAATATTGTATATCTCAATTGGTGAAATTTTATATTGAAAATAAGATTATTTTTCCATGATTAATTAATTCAATTTGTTTTACTGCTATCTATATTGTCCATAGTGGTTTTCTTTTCTTTTATTTCTCCTCCTTCTTCTTCTTCTTCTTCTTTTTTTTTTTTTTTTTTTTTTTTTAAGCATATGCCTGGATAATCTGAATGCAGATAGCTTATGACCTCTTTACTTACCAATTCTCTCATTGCTTCTCTCAGCCTCTTAAGGTTAATTTTTGAGTTGCAATGTTTTTTAGGTGAAAAGGAAGAGGAAGGAAAAAATAGTAATTACATGCACAAGAAATATGGAAATCATTTAAACGAAAAAGAAAGAACAAGCACCAAGTGTGAAAAGGAGGAGTGTAGGCATTTCACCGGATAGAGCGATTTAGCTTGCTTATGATGGTTAGAAAGGCTGAGAAAGTCAGATCCTGATACAGAGCTATGTATAATTTCCTTAAAGAAATATTCCTATTGCTTTATGACTTTTTGATCAACTAACCCTCTTAAAAGAGCCAAATTTCTCTTTCCTGATTTGCTGGCAGAGTAGGAAGGAAGAAACGAAAGTAACAAACACTATTCGTTCTCAGACTTTCATATGGAAAGCCTGTGTTTCCTTCTTGATTTCAAAAAAATGAAAGGAGCTCATTTCAAATATCTAATAATGATTTTACCATGCTTCTATTCTAACATAAGGCCCTGAAAGCTATAAGGGAAAGTAAACAGCCCTGAAAGTAAACGGGGATAAAATTAATACCACACAAATTCTTAGAAAGAAGATACATGTGTTCCACATCTTTCAAATACTAAAATCAGTCTCATTTCCCCTTGCCAGCTAGATGCCAAGAAACTGTCAGTGCCACTGAAGCAATCATCTTTTAAAAAGGAAAGTAGAATGCTAAGAAAGTTTGATTCAACACTTGAGATTCAGAAAGGGTGTTTTAAGAACTTCTTATCTATGCCAAAATAGGGAATGGAAGATTTAACCACCCAAAAACATTCCTCTACTCCAATAAGAAGCTCTAGACTGATGTCTTAAGTTGTACATAGTCTACAGGAATTTTATGACAAATTGTCAAGCCCTGTAACTTTTCTACAAATTTCTACAAGCTTTTCATACTTTTAGAATGACATGTACTTCTACGTCGCACTGTATTTCCGCTGTGTGGCAAATTCATGCTACTTTTAAACTAGCACTTAGCGGAGTAGATGATCATAAATTGCTGATAGCAAATAGCAGTTTGACT